GCCTCTGTACATACCGTTTTCGGCCTCCGTGCACCCCATTTTTGGCCCCTTCTGGGTGAAGGGTATTGGAATGGGTGGAAAATGGGACGTGTGGAGGCCGAAAATGGGGGCCTGAAACATCTGATCGTCGGGAGGCCGATCCAACCGACAATCAGCTGCTGGTGCTAGCTGTGATGAAGCTGTGATGAAGCTGACCAGGCTTTTTGCTGTGTGCTGCAAGTATGCAAATTGTTGGAAGGCAGAGGCAGATTTTTTTTTCTTGTTTTCCTCCCCCAAAGCTAGGTGCATCTTATACTTCGGAGCATCTACTCTGAAAAATATGGTTATCTACAGTGCACCATGAGTTCAATTCCTGGCAGAGATATATCCATGGCTACATATGCCTGAAGAGTCCCAAATAAGGACAACAGTTGTCATGTGCTGCCTCCTGGTGACTAGTATAAGTAAATCACCTTTTTGGTAAGCTAGAAAAAAGTGGGATAGATAGCATCACCATCAAATGAATTTGTAACTGGCTGACAAATCGTACTCAATGAGTAGTCCTTAATGGTACTACATCTACATGGAGGGAAGTAAACATTGGGGTACCACAAGGTTTTCTCCTAGACCCAGTACTCTTCAATATCTTCATAAATGACTTAGATGAGGGAATAGAAGGGGAACTTACCAAATTTGCAGATGATACTAACTGGCAGGAATAGCCAACACCCAAAAGATAGGCTCAAGATCCAGATGGAGCTTGACAGACTGGAACACAAATACATATGAGGCTAGAAATCAAGACATAATATGATATGGAGCCTCTTGTACTGTATACTTTTTTGTTTCTGTGTGTGTGTGTGTGTGTGTGTGTGTGAGAGAGAGAGAGAGAGAGAGAGAGAGAGAGAGAGAGAGACACGCTTGAAACAAAGTGTTTTGCAGAAAATGTGTCATATGTTTTATTTTCTAAAGAATTTACTTTATCAGAATAGTGTTATTTGGGATGATAAGGCTCCCACCTAGTTAGCTTTCTGGAAGACAGCATTACATGCCTTTGGGCCATTCTTTCCCTCAACATGACCTATATCCTAGGAGATGTATCTATTCTACCTTGAGCTGCTTAATGAAAGGCTAAATATTAAATAAATATACATAGATAAGCAGGCGCTCCTGGAAGCATAATGTATCTCATTGGAGGGGTTTCTTTAAATCGGTGTCTGAAGAATTTTAAAGGAAGTATGATATTTCAAATAGGTTGCCAAACATCATTGGAGACATGCTTTATCTCTTCATGTCTGAAAGAGACCTGTAAAAACAAGCTGTATGCTTATTACTAGCCTCTGTGCAATCACATTCTAGGCTGAAAGAGTTAAACTTGGGTCAGCCAAAGTGACTCACTAAGCTGATTAAAGTAATTGTAAAGATTATGATCAAGACAAATAGGAAATGTCTGAGTGTGTTGGTAAGCTCTGTAGGGGAGAAAATGGGTCACATGATAAGATGGCAAACCACAATATGGCAAATGTTTAAAGAAGCAGCAATATCAGCTTCTATATGTTTTAGGAATAATGAAAAGCTGAGGTAATATTAATAGGGGAGGAATTAATTCCCTGAAGAAAGAAGGATAATATAATAAATTTATAATTATAAAAAGACATTGTAATTTGTCTAAATGAAAATAGTGTACTATGTTGCTTATACAGTATTTTGCTTGTTAGACAAACCATACATTTCAAAATGTACAAATGGTCAATATTCAGATGTTCTCTTTTACATTTTATCTCTGAGAAAGCCATTTGTTTTTTAATTGTATCCACTATTTTATATTTATTTTCTTAAGAGATCTAAAAAAAATGCATATTATTTTTGTTGTCTGACTGTTGTGGGGCATTTATAGTATTATCTGCAAAATACCTGCTAAAAATATTTATATGCATAATTGAGCCTGCAATAACGGTTGTAAGTCGTGACTGCCATAAAGTGGCTCACCATGTGACCAGACTGGTTTTAAGGCCTTTTTGTGGTCTTAACACCACAGCTTTTAAACTAATCCATTGTTTGCTATGTGACAATTTGTGCAGGAAACTGGAAGTAAACACTGGTTTCCAGTAAATATGTTGTAAATTGCAGTCACATTGCTGTGGGGGCTGTAAACAGCCATAAATATAAATGCAGGCCAAGTGCACATGACTTCAAGAGGAGCCCAAATATTGGAACTTTGAAACTGGGTCATAACTCATTTTTGGATCCTGTGGTTACTACAAACAGTCACTAAATGACTGATTATAAATCAAGGAGTGTGTGTGTGTGTGTGTGTGTGTGATATTTCTCATAAAAATCTGAAGCAGTGTATAATCATACTCCATTAGCTGAATTCTGGAAGTCCATCTTCACAAAAATTGGTACAGCCTGATTATTCTCCTTGCTTCTGCCTGATTTCAGGGGAAAAGCAGGTTAGTGTGATTTGTCTTTGGGTGGGAGAACTGGGATTGAAAAAGAAAAGTGTGGGGGGGATGGGGAAGAAGCCAGACCATGCCTGCAACCAGTGCCAGGAAAGCTGCACCAAAGCTTCCACAAGGAATCAAAGCCAAATTTGGGCCATCTTTACCTCTACTTTTTTTTACATAGAACACTGTAAATAGCTCTTTACTATCATGCATCCCTTTACTCTTACATGAACAAATGCCTGCCTTTACATTTATTTTATAAATGTTAAGCGTATATCTTTCTTGAACACTTTAGCATTGCTACTGTCTTCTTACTGTTGATATTTTGGCTAGCCTGATGTCTGATCATTAGTCTGCTTGAGAATAGATTGGCCATGAAAAATACCCTCTATTTTAAGTCAGGCTACAGTGGAAGCCTCAATTCAACCTCTACAACTATGGTGTCTCTCCACTATACTGCCATTCTAAACCACTCTTAATCTGTATTTCCCCCCCTCCCCACTAATCCACCATTGTTTGTTCTCTGTTGCCTTGCCTGCAGGGTCTTTGTTCCTAACCAAAAGCTGGAGCTGAGCCCCAGGCATGAACAGGCCAAGCAGCTGCTACAGAGAGCTCGCATGAAGGCCAGGACAAACCCGCTCCGAGCTAGCCATAACATCCTGCTTACTGCCCCCCCAGACAAGAGGTAAGCTTGGTCATTTCCATTTGGTAGCCTTGAGGATCTGGACTGGATTGGCATGAGAAGGGAGGAACTCTAGTCAAGAAGACTGTGTGGGTTATTTTTTCCAGGATATGCCATTCAGGATATGCCATCTGTAATCATTTAAAGTTTTCATCTTACAAATAAAATGCTGTACAAGAATAAAAAATGATAGATTAAATAAATGTATGTATGTTGATTCAGAGCCTAAATATTATCTACCTGAAGGAAACCATGAAAGTAAACATAAACATTTTATTCAAATAATGCTATGTAAAAGAATGAGATTCAAATGAGATTATTTGTCATGTGTCTAGATGTCCTTTGCAATAAAATATTAATTATGAGGATGCATAAGACTTAAATGTTTTCTGACATCACAGTAATTTTATAAAATGCAGTTTTTCAAAAATAGTGGAGTTTAAACTTTATAAAAATTGCTATTTCTATTGTGAATCACATCTTTAGTGCTTCAATTTTCTTTCTGCACAAACTTTTTCATACGCCAAATGCATCAAAAATTATTATAAACACAAACAAAATAAATATTTATTTGCTAATACTTATATCTCATTCAGTTCCAGAGACTCTGGGCAGCTAATATCCAAGTAATCTCATAAATATCCAAGTAATCTCATAAAATAAACATTGTGACATAATTATGGCAATAATATAAAGATAAGGAATTGGCAAAAACAAATATTAGAGATAATCCTTGTTGCATATTTTAACAACTCCAAATGCTAATTCTTAAAAACATTTACAGAAGGGGGAGGCTATATGTATTTCAGGAGATAGTACATTCTACAATGACAAGGCAGCTAGTGAAAAAAAATAGTTTCCATGTTTTTTTCCCTTTTCCCATTCTTTAAAAATAGAACACTTCAATTCCTGGAAGAAATATTTTGGACCTAGAGGCTTTGTCCGTGAGTTCTCCTGGGAAGCACCGAGCTCCTTGTTTCCATTAGTGTGAACAATATCACTACCTCCAGGAAGGACATTGGCAATAATTGTGAAAAATAAATCAACATATAGTTGTAAAATACACTTCTTTAAATGCATTCACAAGCATTGCCCTTTCACCATTGTAACATGTAACATATATATAACCAGAGTCTGATAATTATTTACTTTTGCCTATAAAAGTAAATAGATCTGAACTTGGTTTGCAAGTTGAATGTGACCCCTACTTGAAACTAATTTTTGTCTTCAGATATTATCTGATTATGTCTTGTATTATATCGTATATTATTCCAAGCAATTTCAACTTTCCACAGCATATCCCAGCCATTTTCCAGTCCTATGTTATTCTTCATTTAGAAGTATACATTCAACTTGCTGATTTGTTGTATGCTAGGACTGTAACAAAATGCTAGATCTCTTGTTGATCTGATGATTGTACAAGGAGCTAGACGCATATTACATTTTATTTTTACTCATTGACAAAATGAGGTTAGGTAGCAAAGACCTGAGCAATACTAGAAAGCTTGGTTCTTCATTAGGCTGTAATAGGTAGCCATTAAGACATTAAGACAAACGGTCCCTTCTGCTAAAGGTTTGTAGATAGATGAAATGAGTATCAAAGTGGATAGTTTCACCAAGTAATAAAAAATAATCTTTTCTTTGGTTCATAGGGGTACCTGTAGATCTTCTGTTGCAGACACAAAAGACTTTGTTTTGAAGGATGGAAACAGCCACATTAGTGGAAACCAGAGTGATTCTTCTAGTGGTGACTCCAGCTATGGGCAGCAGAGGAAGCAAGGACCATCTTCTTCTCGGGTGCGTTTTGAGGATGAATCTGCAAGGGATGCTGAAGTTCGCTATTTGGAACGTCTGCAGCAACGTCAGAAACGGCCCTTAGATTCAATTCTGTTATCTCTTGGCCAGGGCCCACTGCTCTCCAAACCATATCTTGCTGACTATATAAATGGCGACCTCCAGCGTAAAGAGAGTAGCATCAACAAACCTAGCTGGGAACATCAAAGCATGGGACAAGGAGCCAAAATGCATACTCACCAGAGCAATGAAGGAAGCTCTGAAAAAGGGAAGCCTCCTCAATTCAATAAAGAAAGCAAGTGTAATGCCTGTGGATCTTATATCAACAATTCAGCAGACACTAGAGTCAACCAAACTGGGAATGGCAAACCTGAAATTGCCAATGTCCTTCCTGGAGGTAGTGATATTGTTCACACTAATGGAAACAAGGAGCTCGGTGCTTCCCAGGAGAACTCACGGACAAAGCCTCTAGGTCCCAAAAGGACTCCATTGTGGATCCTTCCTTCTCGGCAGCGTGTTTTTGCAGAATGCACCAGGGAGACGTATATTGGCGAAGTTACTAGCAGTGAAGATATGGACTCAGCTTTAGGCAGCACCACTGACACATCAGACAGCTACAGGACAGACAGTGAAGAAGCTGGCATCAACAGTCTGCAATTTGCAATAAAAAATTGTCATGGTGTCCCTAGATCATTGTGTTCTTCAGAGAAGAAAGCCAACACTGTTACCAGGGACGGGAAATGGGGAAACAGCAGCTGCAAAACTAGTAAAGAAATTACCCGGTGTAACATTCCTAACGTAAGCAGATCGGAAATTGGGTCAGGTACTGATGAAGCACAAATTTGTAGCTTGCAAGGGGCCTCTGAGGTAAAAGATCAGGATGCTCAGGTAGCCATTCCAGGAAACAAACAGCAAATGAATCTGAGTCATATAGAGAAGGAAGACAAAGACAAAGCACAAACAAAGGTACCTGGTGCCCAACTGAGAGAACCCATATCTCCCATCTATTCTCAGCAGTTGGTTTTCCAAGATGGTATAAAAGTTCCTGTGAATAGGCCAGTCAAACATTTATGCCAAACCAAGCAGCCTACAAAGCAGGTGGCCACTACCAACAATTTAATGAATCTAATACCAGCACCCCCTGCTACTGGGAAAGTTCACTCCTCCCCAATGTCTTACAGGAGAGCTGTTTTAACAGGCAGCCACAAATTGATCAAACAGGATCCTGGACATATAAATAAAACTAACGAATTATCAGTTTCAGCTGCCTATTCTGATTTCCAGGATGTGGGTGTATCTGGGCTAGAGGAGCATAATGGCCAGCAGAATCCAGGGATATTCTCTAAACATTTGGCTTTGTCCTCCAATAATCACAACAACATATCTACCAAGCCAGAGCCCCAAACCATAATAACGGGCAGAGATGAGCAACTTGAGGAGAGTGAGAAGATGAGAAAAAATCAAGGTAAGAAATCATGTTGACTTGGCTGTAAAAAAGAGAATCTCTCCAACAAGGACATTAAAAATGTGTGCCCAGTTAACATTGTTTTATTGAAAGATAGCTATTTGGTCTGAACATGAATATTTGGGATATTTACACAAATTTGAATAAGAAGAAATAGTGAGGGTATATAAGAGGTAAGCAACAGTGAGAAAACAAAGTTAAGAGGACATATTTAGAGAAGTTGGAAGAATATCTAAAAGAATGTAAACCCATATTTCATTAGCATCGACTTTCCAAAGTAAATAAACAAAAGCTAAAGAATGTCCAAAAGCAAGACGTGAGGGCCGTAACTATTTCTTTCTGTTGATTTCCAAGATGCCGAGGCATGCAGCTAGATTCTAAAGATATTACAATGACTATTGTATAGTCATCTCCTCCACTAATTTGTGCAATTTGCTAACTCTTATCATAGCATACTCTATTATGCACTACATGCACTATGCAAGTACATTAAACAGTGCAGTTTTAATATGTATTTTGATAGTTTCCCAATTTTACTATTACAATCAAAATTATTAGAAAGCTGATCATCACTAATCAAAGAATAAGAGCTAACATACAAATTGCATATCTTTCAGACTATGGAAGATAATTAAATTTTGAGAGGAGAAATTAGTAGCATCAGTCTCATGTAGCAAAAAGAAAGAATATTGTAGGTCCTTAAAGATTAACTGATTATTAATCTAATAAAAGATTATCTTTTCATGGATTATAAATGCAAATAGTAGTAATGGTATTTAGCATAGTACAAAGAAGGGTATAGTTTGCAATGCTTTATAATGTAAACAATAAAACAATGTAATCAATTTAAAACATAGAATCCCAACACTATCATACTTTAATTGATAACATGTATTGATATTTGAAAGTTCTTTCAATTTCATAAAGGTCCTGAAAAAAAGAAACATTTTGAAGTATTTGTAAGCCTTGGAAAATCAGATCCTAATGTAGTTCAAGGGGGAATATCTTCCAAGTAGGAGGAGCTAGATGGGAAAAAGCTCAGAAACATGAGACAGTTATTCTAAGGCAGAGAATAATTGAACAGCCCTGATTACATGTGTGAACTGAACACACAGCATCATTATTTCATATTAGGTTATTCAAGAATTGGATGTTCTTGTCAATCCAAGCAATTTAAACTGATAGTGTTTCTGAGGTCCTAGCCAGTCTAACCAGCTACACTTAAGAGAGGTCCATAAACTATGCGGACTGTTCCAGACCCATCCAGAGGATGTGGAGCAACTTTATGAACAGCTGTCAAAAAGCTATGTACTTCAGTATTCTTAGACTTTTCAATAGTAAGAAATAAATGAATTCAGAAGCTGTACATAAAAAAAAGAACCTTTGTAGTTTTATCAACTTTAAGTTTCCCATTAACAAGAACTTCCAGGTATTTTCCCACAGAAGGTATCTACAATTGACAATTCTGAAAATAAAAAAAAGGAGGAAAAGAAAAAGAATGTCAATCGGGAAGAAAACCAATAGTTTGGTTTTCTCAAAATGTAATTTAAGACTGGAGGAATATGTCCATCTGGAAATCTGAGTAAAGTAGTTGTAGAGGGAAAACTATAATGCATCATCCTGGACTGGAGCAGAACAATACACTTAGTTATTATTGGAATACATATGATAATTATTTTTAGTTATTGAGAAAAAAGACAAAAAAACCTAGTGACAAATTATACAAACTGAACCATGAAAAACACCGTCAAATGAAGGGAAGAGTTGATAGCAAAGATTCTTTACTTAAATGAAAATGTATCATGGAAAATGTAAGACTGGAACTATTAAGAAACTGCAAATCCCTGATAAGCTAAGTCAGTCCCAATCCAGTGGAAAGATCTTCACAATGCCATGATTGAAATCGGTTAGTAAAATTATTTGCTGAAGGGAAAGAATTGATAATCTTAGGCAAAAATAAAAGTGAAGGCACTGGCTAAAAATAGGTAAGTAAAGTAAGTTAATAAATATTAAGTTAATAAATATTTTTCATCAGGCTTATTACTCCTCTATTGCATGGAAGAGAATACTTAGAATTAGCTGTCAAGAATTTCTCTACAAGCTGTAGGTTGTTTATGTTATCATCCTGAAAGTCACAATGTGTTATGTGTATTGTGATGATACTGCTGGTTATGTAGTTATAAGCAGAAGAGTTTTTAAACTATTGTAATACCCTAGTTAAGTTGCTATCTTCAGATATGAAAACTAGCATTATGTCTTAAAAATGGGAGCTGTTGGTGAAAATTAAGAATATGTTACAATAAAATGACTTCTTTTACCAGAAGACAATATTTATAGCTCAGGATTGAACTGTGGGGTCCTTAGTGCCCTCTGACATTGGCTGTTTTCTTGCAGATGTCATTATCAAATGAAGTAATGTCATCAGTACCAGCCCACTCTGACTTATTTTACTTCTTCTGGCCTTCTATATAACAAGTCCATTTTAAGCTTGTTTCTAGAGCAATCTGGAAATTAAAAAGCCAGAAAGTTTTTGTGACAATTTAATGCTATGCCTATATTATTGTCAAATTGGATGAATTATTACTATATTTCTAAAAATTGTAGAGAATTCAGAAAGATCTAATGAAATTCTCAGTATCTTCAAAGAACTCTTATTTCATAGCATTATTTTGTGTTGGGGGAAAGAGATACAGTATGTGTAAGATCTCTCCTATGATTCTCCAATTTGGATTGTGCCACTGTACAGGGTGGCATCTGATATATGTTAACATTTTCTTTGATAAAAGGATGTATATCAGACATTATGTGCTAAGCCACAATTACTTGTTATGTCCTGTCATACTAGCTGAAGGTGGAAGTCCACCCCAAAGGTGTTCTAAGAACAGCAATTGGACGTATCTGTATCGTTGCAGTAGGTCCATCATCCTCCACATGTGGTGTTCCCCCTGTTGCTCCCAATATCATCAGTTCCACTGCTATTAACCTCTCCCTGACAACTGAAGAGACCAACTTGACAAACTCCACTCAGTCAATCAGCAGAGAAGCTCCAGTAGCAGATATGCAGAAGATAAAACCTGGGCAAGCAAATATTATTCAGTGGTGAGTAGAAATATATCATGTTGTTAGAAAGTTGAGGTGGGGATGTCATAGAGCAGGGCTGTTTGTAATCTCATTTTTCTAAAGCTAAAGCAAATCAATTAATTCCCAAATTAATCCCTCTTCACATGTTGGAACTTCTCAGCCAGCATGGCCAGATGATCTGCTACTGAGAGATCCTGTCCATCAGCCTTCCTAACTAGATATTCTCTAAATTAACTGAACTTCATTTCCCATAATCCCTCACCAGTCCGGCAAATGAGGGAGTTGTTACTGCCATTTAATCTTTTCTTCTGTTGAAGGTTAACCAAAACTGGTTTTTGATGACCAAGACACAGTTTAAGCAAAAATGTTTTTGCTTTGTTCCTACCATGAGCTCTTTCTTTGCAATGGCATATACCAGTGGTGGCTAACCTTTTTTGGCTCCTGTGCCGAAAATTGTGCTCATGTGACAACACCCAGAAGGCAGTGCGTGTGCCCCCCATGCGTCTACGCATGCACGTGCATCTTCTGTGCCCCCCCGCACATACGCGCCAGATACCCGACAATCAGCTGTCAGGCGGGAGGTGTACACACATGTGCAATGGGGCTCTTCCGGGCGACCTCTCGCGTTGCCAGTAGAAGTGGCTCTGTGTGCCATTTCTCACACGCATGCCATAGGTTCGCGATCATGGGCATATACTAAAGAAGAGCCAGATTGCTATAATGATTAAGACACCAGGAGACTGTGATTAGGCAGTCATTAGGCAGAAAGCTGGCTGGGTGATCATGGTGAATCAACCTCAGCCCTAGGAAGAAAACAACAGCAAACCACTTATGAAAAACCTTGCTAAGAAAACTGGAGGGATTTCTCCATGCAGACTTCAAGAATCAGACACAATTAAACAGAGGAAATATGTAAGAAATATACTAAAGAAAATAAGCAGCAGCTAATTAATTTACAACCCCTCAACTCATCTCATCCTCATAGCATCTTGTATTTTGTAAAGGAAAGGCCTCCAGAGTACCAACCAGTTGGAAGTGGAAAAGGTTGCCAGGAGGAAAGTAATTCTAATATTTGGTGTGGCTAGCAAGCTTAACCAAGTGCTTTTTAATTTGTGTTTTCCCAGTTTTTATCTTTGGAACAATTTTGCAAAGTAGATTTAGGATGTGAGGTACTTCTCCAAGACCACATAGAATCTGAACATTATTTGTGAAAGATATATGCAGGATACACATTTGCCGTCTAAAGGAATCTGGACATTTTCCGTTAACTGGTAGAGTTGAACCTCCCTGTATTCTGCTATTCTGTCCCATTTGGTGGGAGGAGAAAAATTGAAAGAAAGGGAAGAGTTATCAGTGTCAAGATGGATAGAGTTGATTACAAGGGTGATGGATGCATCATTGAAGGGCTCTTTTGGGGACACATCTTCCTGGAGAAGACCTATTTATGTGGTCAGTAAGAGTGAACCTCAAGTTCACTCAAGAAAGGCTCCCAAGCTGTGTCCCATTGTGTTAGTTTTAACAGAATAACAGAGTTGGAAGGGACCTTGGAGGTCTTCTAGTCCAACCCTGCACAAGCAGGAGACCCCGATATCATTCTGGACAAATGGCAATCCAATCTCTTCTTAAAGCCCTTTTTCTCCCAGGGAAAGCAGGCAGTACAGACTGAATATCTCTTTCAGTTTGTTAGCAACAAATGCTTCCTGCGTGTCTACTTGCACCTCTCCGTGATGTAATCTTTCCTCTGCTGAACTCCCCTGAGGTCTGCTGCAGTTCTCCCCAGGGGTGCTTTCTGCTTTTTGAGGCTTGGCTTTTCACTCTCACAGCAGGCAAGTACTGCCTCGTTGGTGCTGCCAGCGGGCTTAGAGCCCCTGTTGCCTCCCCTGCTGTTTTCCCCTCCCTCTTAGCTCTGAAATCTGCTTTGACCTACTTCTCCCTTCCTTTCCCAATCCCCAGAAAATTATTCTTATGGCTAGATACCCCAGTTCGCAGAAATTAAGCCTCATCTTTCTAATCCAGGAATTATATCTAAAATGCTAAAATGGCATATTATTGGTTTCTTCAATGCATCTAAAATCCAGCTGCATTGTTCAGCAATATCAACAAATGTGTTTAATTTGGATTCCACTGCTATCTGATAAGTTAACCAGATAAATAAAATAATTTGGTCTGAGGAAATTCTGTCCAGCGTTGTCAGTAACAAATTAATCTAAGCCAGCACAAGCTTGGTAGATTTACTGACAAATAGGTTGAGAATAGAGATACTCAAGCTGAGATGATTCTCAGAGCACATTTGAAAGGGATGGGGCTCAAGAAAGTAGGCAGGAGATACATTTGGAAAGTACAAATAAGGAAAGTAAGAACTCTTGACTTTAAAAGCCTTTTTTGTTTCAGAATCTCTCTCCCTCTCTCCCTCCCTCTCTCTCTCTGTCTCTGTATGTGAAAGAAAGAGAGCCTTCAAGTCAGGATTAACTCCTGGCAATTGCCTGACAAGTTCCAGATGGCTTTGTGCCTGACAGAAATTATTTTTTACACAAAGGGCACAACATTCTATATTTTTAATTAAAAAGCATAATTTAATATAATGCACTTATTTCTTTCTGGCCAGTGTTTGTACTATTTGGTTGAACAGTTATTTCTTTAATACCAGGGATGAAAGGGTGAAGTTTGATTCTCAATGGCATCTCTTACTCTCGTGATAACTCCTAAGTGTTGTCATTCTGGCGGCTAAATGTCTATAATTTGCTCTTACAGAGCTAAAGAGAATAAACTGTTGCCCTTGGGGACAGTGTTGCCCTGTTCATCCATGACATAGTGTCACCTGCCTTGATAGAAGTATCTATTTAGGAAATCTTTTGTAAGGACTGATTTACAAATCTGAGAAATGTATATAGAGGGGAGTTATCAAGTCTTGGTTTTCAAGAGTTAAAGAAACACAACTCAGGCATGGTGATGTAAAGAAATGCATTTATTATTATTATTTATTCATTTGTTTGTTGCGTTTGCAAGTCATTTCTTGTGCAACTAACAGCTCCATGTAGCAGTGGCAGATATCAGTTGGCTCTACTCAGTTTTCGGCTCTAATTGAATTAAACACAACACTGAATTATAAGAAAGGGGGCAGATTGCTATAATAGGAGCAAATAGAAAGAACAGCACATTAAAGCTCACAAAGCCTAACCTTCCTTGGCCAAGTGGGCTTCCCTTCCTACTTAAAAAATTACAGTGATGTACCGGAGTAAATGGTACACAGCTTGTATAAAAAGGAGCCCCAGTTAAATGTTGTAACCCCTTTCTCTGTCTCTCTACTTTTAAATTTCTGACTGAGGCATATGAATGTATTCCTATTGATAATGCCTTGTTTTCTTCCTTCCTTTGTCTTCCTCCCATTTTCAAGCTATTTATATGCTCTTTGGGGTACACCTCTACCCCAATGTGAGATTTGACCAATGTGAGATTTCCTACATATTTATGATTACTACATGATATATGTCAACCTTTCCCAACCTAGTGTTCACAACAGGGTTGGATTTCATTTCCCATAATTCCTAGTCAAAAGGCTGATTTTGTTAAGCAATGTTCTGATCAAAAGCCCACTTACTGCAATATATTTTTAGTATTCACTTTTTTGACAGCACCCTCTTCGACAATAACCACGCCATTTATAGCTGTCTATGAAGCATGTTTACTAGAGATACAGTAGAGTACAGCTGCTCTCTTTTACTTAGTCAAAATAGTGATAAGATTAGAGACCAATCCTCTTATACTTTTCAATACCTCATATATGCAATTCTAGGTCTGCAGTTTGAAATGGAAAAATCCTAGTCATAGTAAAATGAAAAACTTAATTATGCAAAGAATGAACTTCATAGAAAAATAAGCTACTCTTCTCCATTTATAGAATTTTTCTCTACGGTTTTTAACACAAACACAAAGCAAAAGTTGTGCATAAATAAAAATAAATTAATATTAGCTGGGAAAGGGTTTTTTTAGGTTAGAATTCTGAAATATATAATAATAGTAATAATAGTTCCTCTGTTTCTTGGATATTAATGGGGTTAATTTGAAAGTATAGGTAAATGTGTTGACTTTGTCCATTAATTGTTTATTTAATATTTGTAAATCCTTTTAAAATCCTTTTACCATTTATTGTCGTCAGTTTTTTTGTGCGCCTTCAAGTCAGGCGAGATTTTTGGCAGTTATTGGCAGTTGCCTTCTTCTTCCTAAGGCTGAGGAGAGTGACTGGACCAAAGGCTCCTAAGGCAGAACTGCAACTTCAAAATCTCTCCTCATTTCTAGGGTGATGCCTACTAACCACTACACCAAACAGGTTCATTTGGGGCACTCCAAATTGTAAATAAAGTCGAAGGTACTTTCTTGCTTTTTAGTTTGTAATTTTCTTGGCTGGTTTGTTTTGCCCTCCAGCAAACACTTAGAAGTCTACCCTCAGCCAAAGAAACAGCAATCCAGCAAGAAAGAAGTCTCTTCTACATCAGGTTTAAAAAAATTCTTCACCACTCTGAGTCAGAGCACCAAACAACGATTGGGCAGATTCCGATGTTATAGCATGGAACAGATTTCTATGCTAGAATCAGGAGCTGCCAAGCCCAATTTGGAAACTGGTCCAGATACCATTTGTTCTCCAAAAATGAAGAAAGTACCTTCCTTACAATCCTTGCAGAGGGTGAGTTGAAATTGTGTTTTTATTAAATTTTATGACAGATCTGGGTATTTTACGTCCTGTGTTGAAATTGTGTTTTTATTAGATTTTTATGATAGACCTGGGTATTTTACAGCTCACGGGCCACATCCAGCCCGCGAGTGGTCCCAATCCAGCCCTTGGCATTGGCAGCATCAGTGGCAGTATATTGGTGGCAGGGGTTGGTGCTTTGGGCAGCGTCACTGGAGGGGGCAGGGTGGCTTCAGTGGAGGGCAGGGTGCTGGAGGTGGTGGTCATCCACAACAATCTCAGTTTCGCATGTGACTCCCTGGGAAAATTAATTGCCCATTCCTGTTTTATGAGAAGGTTGCAGTAAACTAGCTTAGTTTTTGTGGTACAATTTTAAAATTATTTTCCAGAGAAATATTAGCCTTACAATGATGACATATTATCAATAAAACATTTTTTGATATTCAATGCATTTTACATTAAACAGCATCACGAATGTTTAAACATTTTAAACCCTGAACTCCACTTGTAAGCCCAGTGTGCATCTAGAAATCTATTTCATGTTTTACAATATAATGACAGCATTGAAATCCATCTTAGACCATCTTAGTTTGTAATGCTCCCAGTTCTTTGAGACAGTGACAAAGTCCAACAGTCCTAGTTATTCACTGAGTCAAACATTCCGTATATTGATTTTCTACTTTTCTGTAGTTTCTGCTTTTCAAATTTCAAACACAGGGATTCAATTATTTTTTTCTAACAAATGAAAGCAATTTTACAGAAAACAAGCTCATTCCATTTTCCAAGCCTAGCTGTCCATGAATGAATATAAGGCACAGCAAGAATCCACTCCATAGACAAGTTTTTACAAGATCATTTCTAAGGATTATGAAAGTGCTGCTGAAGTTTTGTGTGTCAAAACTGTGATAATAATACTCTGAGTTTCCAAGGGGGGGGGGGACATACTTTTCCTCAGTTGGCAAATGAGAAGGGAAGAACAAACAAATATATGGTTGTTTTCTGGATGACATTGATGTAATTTGTTAGGATGTTCTAGTCGCACTGTAAAATATAAAACTGGTTTATCTGACCAAGTTTAAAATAGATTGGTTGCTATTTCTGGAAATTTTGATGGAATTTTATTTTCTGACCAGGACTGGATAATGATATTTTAAGGTTTTGTTTATAATTAAAAGTTATATGGAAAATATAACTGGATGTATTTTAAATATATCTGAGTAAGATTAAAACAGTTGTGTTATTCTAGTACCTTTAGTGTATTCTAGATTTGAATAATGAGATTGGGGGATTTGAATTATTATAGAAAATGAGATATACATTAAAAGGATGAAATTCAAGAAGATTTATTTGATTAAGTGTCAGGGGTGGGATTCTACCAGTTCACACCTATTCACTAGAACCAGTTGTTAACATTCTAAGCAGTTCAGAGAACCAGTTGTTAGAAGAAATTACTGGCCTAATCCTGTAAGGAAGGCAGGAAGGAAACATTCTGGTGTTGCTTACAGAAACTGCCTTTCCGTTAACCCTTATTACATTCTTGGCAAGACTAGACTTCCTGTCTCAGAAACGTCTCTGGAGTTTTTCCCCCCTCCTTTGCTGGTACTTTGCTTCTGTGGAGTGACCATTCAAAGTTACAATGGCACTGGAGATCCGGTTTGAGCTTCTTCGGCGACAGACCGAAATCTGCGATTGTGCGCAGTTTCGATCTGTGCTCGCCACTGGAGCACCCTGAGCCGGCTGGTTTTGGGGCTAAGCCACCCCGTAGAGGTGGTGAAGAGGGGGGAGACTGCCAGCAGGGTCAATGAGAGCCGCATCTCTCCTCCCCAGCTGGCCATTACTCCCTTTCCCGAAGGCGGTTGCAGCGGTGGTCAGAAATGGCCACCTCAAAGAAGAACTTGACCGGAAAAGAATGTGCAGGAGGAAGATAAGAAGAGAAAGTTTTTGGCTGACTGGGTCGAACTGGAAATACAACAATACAAGGTACCCTTGAATTTGAATTATAAAGAACAACATTGGTCCCAAAGAAGACTTTGAAGCTGCGAATGAGAGAGGGAAGGGAAAGGTTTGGTTTTTTTTTCTTTTCTTCCCTATATTGACAACTAAGAGATTTAAGCAAGAAATCGGCAAAAATCCACTTTGACAGTAACAGGTATTTAAGCTGAAAATAAAATGTCAAAGGGATAATAAAGATTTCTGGATTCTCAAAAACTTTTAAAAGAAGGAAAAAAAACAAAAGGGTGGGATCTGGAAAAAGGGAGGAGACCACCTGGAAGTGAAAGGAATTAACAGTGAAACTTTAACAAGATTCCTAAAAGATACATTTTAACTGAAACTTTGTAACAAGATAAGAGAACCCCAGGAAGAGAAAGTGGAAAAAAGAAGCAAGAAGAAATAACTTTGGATTATTTGGATTACTTGGTGATTTTTGGATTTTTGGCTATTGGATCTAAAGGACTAAAATTAATTGGGTGGTTGTTTAAATTTTTTTAAAATGGTATCACTCTGGAAAGAACTGAGAATGGAACTTAAAAAACAGAAAGAAGATGCACAAGAAGGAAAAGGTTCTTTTGGCTTCGTATTTCAATTTTTAGAAATGGAGATCCTGAACTATGAGAAACAACAAGAAATGCCTGTAGAACAAGAAGGGCAGGACAAAGATGAAGCCATCTTCAATGACCAAGAATTTCTATGTGGGGAAAAGAAAGGAAAGTGGGGAAAGAGAGTGAAAAATTTTAAGATCCGCAAAAACAACCCCCCAAAAAGAATAGTTTGAAAAGTAATTATAACATTAGGAAGAAACAGAAGAGAGGATTACAGAAGAGGGAATCAGAATTAGAGAGAGAAGGGGTCAAAAAGGGAAGGGAGAAGAAGAGGGAGAATAGGGAAAGGAAAAGAAATTATAGAGGAAAGAATCAGGACATAGAGAAACAGGGAAAATGTACAAGACACAAAGATAATGGGTGAAAACTTAATTGAAAGGGGGATTCTGCAAGGGTACATAAGATAGTATTGTTATATTAGAAATAGAAATGAACTTTGAAAATATGAAACAAGTGTGATTAAAATGATAGATAAAATACTCATTGTAATGTAATGGAATGTTTAATAAATAAATGAAATAAATAGAATGAGAGAATAAAATTAGGAAAGGAGGGGAACATTTTAATTATTATAAATGTGCTATAAAAATTTAAGTAAAGAGGAATATGAAAGAAACATGAAAAAATTATGGAAATATTATAAGTGTTCCTAGAAGTATGATATCCTATTGAAAAGGAATGTTAAAGATGTCAAAGATTATAACTAACATTAATGATAGAGCTGAATTGTAATAGAATAAGTATTTTATTTATTATTGTTATATATATATTTTCTCTTTAAGAACTTAGTGCTTATTTTAAGAACCAAGCAGAATTTGACTGGAAGTTATGTGTTATATTGAATGTTATAATTGTAAAGGCATAAACTGAAGTTTAAATAAGAGTTGAATGGATAAAAATTAAAAGATACAAAGGTGTCATACTCCAATTAGTAACTACAGGGAAAAATTTTGTTGAATGAGAAAAGAAAATATGAAATTGAAACAGGACAGACAAAAGTATAAATATGATGACTAGAAAGGTATTGAAACTTAGAAAAAGATATATATATATAATTGAATTTAGAAAGGAATGAGATAATTAAAAGTGAGATTGAGAAAACTAAGGGAAAAATTATTGAGAATATGTTAAAATAGTAATAAGAATAGAACACAAAGATGAATATGAAATTGAATTTGCGTCTGTATGGAGAAGTGATAATCCAGGACCATGCTATTCTCAAAAAAAGAAATTTTACTTGTATTATGTTTCGTGAAAACCTAAATAAAATTTTTATATTAAAAAAAAAGTTACAATGGCACTGAAAAAAGTGACTTATGACCATTTTTCACACTTACGACTGTTGCAGCATCCCCACAGTCATGAGAGGCCAGGCAAGGAGATGCATGCCTCGATGTGAGTGATATTGAGTTGGCCACGCCCAGCCAATAACATGACCACCAAGCCATGTCCACCAGTCACATGACCACCAAGCCACGCCCACCACCTAAGCCACGCCCACAGAACCAGTTGTTACAAATTTTGAATCCCACCCCTGTTAAGTGTATAATAGATATAATATTATTTTTGGTAACCCTGAATAGACATTTGCTGATTAGGATGGGTGATGAAGTTTTAAAGATTTGTTTATAAAGAATGAGGTGAGATATGGGATGAAAACACGGTTCTATTTTAAGAGATGTTGATAAGTTGCTAAAATTGTTTGTATATGCTGGCACAAAGGGGGAAGTTGTGACAATGCAATATTCTTGAAACATCAGAATTTAATCTTTGAAACACGTTTAATAAGTTAACTTAATGAAAGCTAATCCAGTAGCATTGCCCCGCTCTTTTTTGTTTTGTTTTTATTTCTTTTGGTTTTCAGAAGGATCAAGATAATTTAAGCTTGCAAGTCAGAAAACTTTATTCCACTTTGTTCAAGATATCTGCAGTTTGATTCTTCAATATTCTTTCTGATTTGCAGTATTTCCTCCCACTAGGTGTCACCTTTCTGCCAACCAAGAAAAGCCTCATCTGTTCAAAATCTGCATTCTTTTTTGGGCAAGAATAATCGGTCCAATGTTTACCTGGTGGGGGAACCTAAGGATGAGGAAGCTTCTTCTAACAGGTGAGAGTTGGGATATTTTAGGTGACTATTGTGACCATATCCTAAATGGTTCTTTTTATGTGTTGGATGGATGGTGGATAATCAATCTGTTTTTAGACACTGATTGCAGCAACTCACCTCTGTCTGCATCCTGCAGAATCTTCATATATTCAGTTCACAGTATCCTGAAGAGTGGCTAGCTTTTCTGCAGGAGACACAAATCCAGATCCAATCCTGTCCCTAACTGCTGTTTCTCAGAAGAAATGCAGAGTTTTTAAATACAATAGTTAGATAGCTACAGTTGCATCATTCTGTTTTTTTCCATGTTTCTGTTGTATGATTTGTCATAAAGTCAGCTTCATCTTGTTTTCATTTTAATGCGCAGAACTAATCCATACATGGACATTTGTATTTTCCAGGTTCAGCTATAATGCTAACCTATGGTCTAGTGTTCTATGCATAGAGTATTCCGATGCAGATGCGAATAGGTTATGGAAGCTGTTTAGTTTTCAAGTTCAAGGTTACATTTAGAGTTACATCTAAATCTGACATATTAATAGTAATATTGTGCTATTTAATAGTAACTTTGTGAATTCAAAGTGAACCTTGAATTATTAATACCAATTTTGATTTACAGGAAATTATCTGTTTTCATAAACAGATGAAATTGCTTTATTTTGCTCTGTCATAATTATAGCAACCACATCAGACATTAAGATTGCTTCATGATACCTTCCTGGGAAGAAGAAAATGTATAATGCCAACATAATTCAATGTGAACATACAGTGCAGTGGGGGGTGGGGGAAGTATTTGATCCCCTGCTGATTTTGTACGTTTGCCCACTGATACAGACTGATGAAATGATCAGTCAGTAATTTTAATGCTAGGTTTATTTTAACAGTGAGAGACAGAATAACAACAAAAGAAATCCAGAAAAACGCATTTCAAAAACATTATAAATTGATGTGCATTTTAATGAGTGAAATAAGTATTTGACCCCTTTGCAAAAACATGACTTAGAATTTGGTGGCAAAACCCTTGTTGGCAATCACGGAAGTCCAGACGTTTCTTGTAGTTGGCCACCAGGTTTGCACACATCTCAGGAGGGATTTTGTCCCACTCCTCTTTGCAGATCCTCTCCAAGTCACGAAGGTTTTGCAGCTGACATTTGGCAGCTCGAACCTGCAGCTCCCTCCACAGATTTTCTATGGGATTAAGGTCTGGAGACTGGCCATGCCACTCCAGGACCTTAATGTGCTTCTTGTTGAGACACTCCTTTGTTTGTTGCTTTGGCCGTGTGTTGTGGGTCATTGACATGCTGGAATACCCACCCATGACCCATTTTCAATGCCTTGGCTGATGGAAGGAGGTTCTCACCCAAGGTATGACAGTACATGGCCCCATCCATCGTCCCTTTGAGGCGGTGAATTTGTCCTATCCCCTTAGTAGAAAAACACTCGCAAAGCATAATGTTTCCACCTCCATGTTTGATGGTGGAGATGGTGTTCTTGGGGTCATAGTCAGCATTCCTCCTCCTCCAAACACGGCAAGTTGAGTTGATGCCAAAGAGCTCGATTTTGGTCGCATCTGACCACAAGACTTTCACCCAGTTCTCCTCTGAATCATTTAGATGTTCATTGGCAAATGAACATTTGAACATCTGTACAGATGGGCCTGTACATGTGCTTTCTTGAGCAAGAGGACCTTGTGGGTGCTGCAGGATTTCAGTCTTTCACGGTGTAGTGTGTTACCAATTGTTTTCTTGGTAACTATGGTCCCAGCTGCGTTGAGAGCATTGACAAGATCCTCCCATGTAGTTCTGGGCTGATTCCTCAACATTCTCATGATCATTGAACCTCCATGAGGTGAGATCTTGCATGGAGCCTGAGACCGAGGGAGATTGACAGTTATTTTGTGTTTCTTCCATTTGGAATTGCACCAGCTCAGTTGTGATATTCAGCCGGTTCTCACCGGTTCAAGCGAGGATTTGACGTGGGTCGCCAAACCGGTAGTAACTTCATGCCCCCAACCTGGTTGCCTGGTCGTTGCTCGCTCGCTTGTCCCGCCCGCCCGACGCCTAATGCCCGCTCACCCCATCCGCCCAATGCTCGCTGCCCAGTCACTCCTTAAGGTATTTCTTTTTCACCTCCCAACAATCATGGGATGGCTCTCCTGTGCTCAGGAGGCTCTCCTGAGGCCAGGCAGCCCCCAAAACGGAGTTTCACCCCTCCTTTGCTCCGTTCTTTTCCTTTCTGAGTCCCAGGGCAGCCTTCTGGGAGCAAAAACGCCCCCCCCCCCAGAGGCTCCCCTGAGGCCAGGAAGGCCCAAAAGATGGGTTGGGGGTGCTGCAAAAAAAAAAAAAAAAAAGCCATGCCCACCTAGCCATGCCCATAGAAATTTTTTTTGAATCCCACCCTGCACCAGTTGTTGTCACCTTCTCACCAAGCTGCTTGGCGATAGTCTTGTAGCCCATTCCAGCCTTGTGTAGGTCTACAGTCTTGTCCCTGACATCCTTGGACAGCTCTTTGGTCTTAGCCATGATGGAGAGTTTGGAATCTGATTGCTTGTTTGCTTCTGTGGACAGGTGTCTTAATACAAGCTGAGATTAGGAGCACTCCCTTTAAGAAAGTGCTCCTAATCTGCACTCTTTACCCGTATAAAAGACTCATGGGAGCCATAAATTTTGCTGATTGATAGGGGATCAAATACTTATTTCACTCATTAAAAGGCAAATCAATTTATAACTTTTTTGAAATGCATTTTCTGGATTTTTGTTGTTGTTATTCTGTCTCTCACTGTTAAAATAAACCTACCATTGAAATTACAGGCTGATTATTTCTTTGTCAGTGGGCAAAAATCAGCAGGGGATCAAATACTCCCCCCACCCACTGTATGTCTAAACAAATACATACAAATATGTCTGAAAAGGTTGTTTTAATATACATTTTCTCATTCTTGAAATAAGTATCAGAGTATTGGAGAATGTGAAGCCTGGTAATTAAGGTCTGATTTGCTTGCTGTTCCTGGTTATGCAACTGAAATGAAATTATATTGAGAATTCAAAAAGATGGACTCCCAGAGATCCTTAAGCAGAAAACACAATTGCTAAAACAACATACATATTTTGCTTTTTGCAATCAAATGCTTCTAGAGTTGACTTTAAGCAATTAAAAAATGTCCTGATATAGGTGGATGATGTGCTCAGAATTTTTAAATGTAGGATTAGCAAAAAGTATATTTGCAGAGTTGAAAAGTTACTAATGAATAATGCTGTAAAGTTAGCATGTTTCCTTTGTATAAAGTTTCCTTGTACAAATGGGAGAAGCATAGGCTTGGTCTCCAAAGCCAAGTAAGATAGTCTCCAAACTACGTTATGCTTGTAAGAGTCAGCTTCACTTTTTCACAAAGTTCCCATAATAATGTCAGCTGTAAATCTATTCGCTAAAAGCCAAGATGTTATAACAAAGTTAGATTAGACAATAAATGAAACAACCATCCTGTTCTTTGATTATATGTCTTTCTGAATATGACAATATTTTCCCTATTCTTAGGGATACAAGGACTCAGCAGAGAAGATCCCTCAGTGTGGAAGACATTGGGTCTCCTAATTTAGCGAGAAACGTTGGGCGGGTGGTAGCAGTTTTTCCAGATGGAACTAGTCAATTAGAATTGCAGCGGTCCCAACAAGGAAACTTTGGGTTTCGTGTTTCTTCAGGGAATGGTCGTCCTGATACAGGTACGAGTTTGGTAACCAATGGCCTGAAATCTTGAACATGTGGACCCCCGACTTAACTTTTTAAAATTATGATCTTGGAATATCTCTATGGTTTTTTAAAATTGTATACTTTTTTCTTTGCTGGGGAAGGGAGGAGAATGCTAGCTTACATTTGCTTTATTTTACAATTTGTACCCTTAATTTTTCAGTTGAGAAACAAAAACAGACTTAACATTACGAACTTAAAAACTAGCTTTATATATTTTTAGTATAAAGAATACATATATTTAACTGTAGGAATAGTCAAAATATTTTGTCTTTATCCACTGTAGCTTTCCAGATAAAGGAAAGGAAGCAGCTATATAATACTTCATCTATATTTGGCTTTCAGCTGGTTTGCATGATAGAAGGGAACTCTTATTCTTCCACATTAGTATTTATTGTCCTCGACATTCTGACAATCTACAATCAATTAGGAATGAAATTATAATTGCAGGTCACATATAAAATAATTCCTGTAAATATATTGTATCTTAATTGTATCATAAAAGCATATTAGCACAACATTGGTAGATCTGCTATGTATGTTTACTGTATTAAAAACTCATTCTTTCCTTTTTATTCTTAAAGTTGTACACAAAAGTACTAGTGCATGATTCTGTTGAATTATACAAATAGGAATTGCAAGGAAAAGTTCATGTCGAGGTAGAACAAGAGATGAAAGAAAGTTTGGGGATAGATAAAGAAGATTCATCAGGCATTATCTATTCCTATTATAGAACCCCTTGCTGTAAAACAGGGATCCCCAACCTTTTTGACGCCGCGGCCCGGTACTGGCATCAGCTGGGCGCCGCGGCCCGGTACCGGCATCAACTGGGCGCCGCCATCTTTTTTTGATGAAAAAGTGCTTCCGGTGAGCTTTCTACCTGGAAAAGCTCACCGGAAGCACTTTTTTACCAAAAAAAGATGGCGGCGCCCAGCAACCAGCAGCCTGGTAAGAGTTGTTCCACGGACCGGTATCGGTCCGCGGACCGGCGGTTGGGGACCCCTGCTGTAAAAGATAAAGCCAATGGCATTACAGCCATTCACACATGCAAAACAAAGTCATGATTTGAGAGAATGGAAAGCCTATGGGATGCAACAGAGAAAATGTAGGGGTGTAATAACATCACAAAATGTTCTTTATATATACCCTGACAGGTTCAGAGATGCTATGATTCCCAAATCATAAATGCCAGTGAATGGCATTATGAAAGTGCATTCTTGGAATTATAAGGCGTTACTGAAATTCTTCTGCATGACTTTAACTCCTCTTCTCTGGCATATTCTCATGACATTTGTGAACATGTTATGACCCCACAGAGTAAGAATTGCCTATTTTTCTACCATTTCCTGAATATAGGTCTTTGAAAGAGGAATTCTATGTCTCATCATAACTACAAGCCAAAGAACCAATCTACAAGGACTGTCAATAGTCTCTGGAAGCTCATTTGCTTAAGCAGGTCCTATATATCATTCCCTGCTCCCTATAGCATCTTCCAGAGGGCGATTTTCTCAGGTTTCTGAGCAGAAAAGAGCTGCTCCTCCTTGTGATAGATTCTCTTGCCTTTTGCCTTGCCTTCTTCATTTTTATATTACAGATAGATAAACAAGAAGGGACATACCTCAGAAGCATTCTTAAATAACCAGTTTCAATCTGGCCTCTTCAATGATCTGTACACCCTAAGTTAATTTAGACTTAAAACTTTCTTCTGGACCTGGAAGTTATTTTATTTTGCTCATGGACTTCTCCAGCTAGGTCTTATGCCAATTATGATATTGTTGCTTCTTTTACAAATGCTTTGCCCTCAAAGCCAAGGATGGTAACTTCGTCATCACAAACTAGCCACGGGATATCTGCACCCAAGCACTGTTTTTGTAATGCCCAGATTATCCTTAGATAACTTGTCTGAGTTACAGCAGCAAAACACAGCTCTTTCAAATAAAACAGATGTGCCACAACACTCAGCAAACCTAATTCTTTTTTTTAAATTCCAGAACATCGAAAAGCATCCTCTCAAAAACATATCATTTGTTAAAGTGGCATCATCTGCACTGACATGGCTGCAATCCTTGCTTATTATGATTTGGTGTAATATAGAAATTGACAAACCATATGTATGCTCAGGAAACCATACAGCCATATCAAAAAGTAGGAATGCTACACAAATGGAAGGTAAAAGCAGCCCTGTTGTTCAAAACCAGGGTTGCTTGTTTCAGTTATACCGGTGATTCTCAACCTTTTCTTCAACATGGACCCCCTTTAAATATCTTTTGTGGTCTGGACCTTGGGCATGGACCTCCAAGACTTAACTCAAGATTTAAATCATAAATTTTCTTCAAGGCTTTGTGAATCTCCTGTAATGACATCGTGGCCCCGAAGGGGTCCATGGACCACCAGTCGAGGACCACTGAGTTATACTGTTTGGTGCATGTATGTTATTTCTTTCTTCACTGCAATCATTTCCCTGCTATTCTTTGCTTCTGAAGAAATACATTTGAAATATTCAGCCACATATGTGCTCCTCCATTAGGCTACAAATATACTTTGATATCCTGCTGTACAGTACTAGTTAAAAATAGGCTCCAAATCACAACCAAATATTTGATTGTGGTAGAATCTCATTGTGGTGTTTTTTATGTTTTCTGTTTTTTATTTTATTTTTTTAAGAGAAGGACTGTTTAAAGTAGGTCAAATGGCAGGAATAATTTGGTACATGTGTTCTTAGGGGTTTTTCCCCCAGGCAAGCTCCTGGGAATGTTGCATTGTTTGTGATAGAGTTGACAGATGTTTGTCCTAGTGTTAAACACTCTGATTCAAGGAATGCATTGTTTCCATTACACTTCCACCGTAAAAATATTTCAAAATAAATTCAGATCCCTCTCAATTAAACCATTTCTTGTTCTGAGGTATCCCTTCCCAGGAAGCTTTGAATAACTAATAACTAGATTTAACAAATTGATTTAGATGATTTTTTTCGTAGTCATTGTGCTGCTTTTCTGGGTGGATTTTTTTTTCTTTTTGCTTGCGCTAGTACACTTGAGTCCTCATTTACAAATTGCCTGTAACTAGCTATAAAATAGCTTTCAGCACAAACAAAAACATAAGATGTATATTGATGTACTGACAAATGTGGAGCTGATTTTAATAACTTGGAAATTTCCATGTTAAGAGAGCAAAATATTCCCTTATGTTCTGCTGTATTTTAGATCTAGAGCTATAAACTTTTTTGAATTCCTAACTTAAAATACAGTGGACAATCCTGCATTATTAAAAAAGGGCTCATCATTGCAGAAGTATTTTTATTTATTTATTTAAAAGGTGCGTATTTCTGTCCATCTTCTATAATGGGAACCTCCAGACTTCTAGGAATTTTAATCCAAATTGAAGTCTGGGCACCTTGAAAGTAAAATGAAAAATATTTCTGAATAAAGATGCAGAAGTGTACAGTTTTCCAGATGAAATATATATAAGTAATCCCAGTTTTGGCTGATGTTTATAGAATCCATAGCATTATGGCTAGTGTGCATCATTTGACCTTTTAGCATGAATGGGATTTGAAATTTTGCCTTTCAAAAATACATTTAATGTGGCAACAGTATGAAAAAAAACACAGTATATTTGGTCAGAACTAGCATAATATACAGGTTCCCCTTGTTTTAAACTGGGTTTATATTCTTAAAAAACCTCATATAAGGTGAGACATTGAACCAGTGGATAAAAATGGCCAATTGCAGGATACAGTATTAAAAGTTTGTAATTGAAATGTGCTAATAAGGCACGTTTAGAGGCTTATTTGTTAAGCAATACATTATTCCAACATGTTTTGTATGTGAATTTTGTATGTGAGTGTATGGTGAAATCATTTTTTCCATTTTTTTTCCTATTGTTGAATTTCTAATGCACAGGGTGGAATGCATCATGGCAATAGAAATAGTAACAGTAATTGCACAGTACAACGGTAAATGCATGAAGGCAGAAAAGATTTTGATGGAAAAACATCCAAGTGGTTTTGATGGCAAAAAGTTTTGGCATGCTTCCAGATTTTTGGCACAAGTTGATTATGCTGACACAAACTTAGCGGCAGTTTTGGGGTTTATTGTTGCAATGAAATCCAGCAGATTCTTGAATGAAAAGGCTCAAATGCATAAAAGTGGATTCATACAAAGCAGGAGACCTGTGTCTTTTTATAACAAGTTCTAAATGAGTAATGAAGGTCTAATTAGCTTAGGTTCAGTGAAGAAGTGTGATATGTTTTTCCCCAAACTCTTTTCTGATTTTGCAGGAGGAACATTTTCCCCATTCCATAGCGGCAACATTTCAATAAAACACTAAATGTAATTTTACATTATTTTCTTTCTTTAACAGGTATCTATGTCCAGGAGATGGCAGACACTAGTACAGCTAAACTCTATGCTGGACTGCTAGAAGTTGGGGATGAGATACTTGAAGTAAATGGTGCCAAGGTTGCTGGGCTGGGCCTAGCCCGGATCAATGAACTGCTCTTGTGGGCAGAGACACTCTCCCTTCGAGTGCTGAAGCAGAGACCTGTCCGGCAGTAGCAGAAGAGGAGATCGTTGTGAGGGAAGCCTGAATGGGCAGCTTTGCCTTGTGAACAGGGCAAAGCAGTTCTGGTGCTTATTAAGCCGACTTGAGACTTGGAGTTTGCATCCTTGTCTCAGTGTTTTTATGACTTGGATGTGGATGGAGGCACAAACCAACCCCATGGGTTATTCTGTAATGGAAGCTTGTATCTACTGAATATTTAATTTATGCAAAGATTAGTCATGCAATGTGGACTCTGTCCATCATCAAGAAATAGGAATTAGTTATCTGGCACCTCCCTGTACAAATAATTTGGAGGGGGGGGAGAGAGAGGGGGAAGGAAGCATCAGGTAACAATTTGTGGATAAAGACTTATCTTTTGACCAGCAACATCCCCACAAACTCTTTATCTAAAAATTGGAGGATGCTGGATCATCTTAAATTCTTTAATTTGTATTAAAATACCCATAACAAGTTGGGTTTGTTCATAAATTTCATTAAAACATTCAAGCTAATACTTTTTCTAGAAATGCGGAGGTTGTTTACTACATTGGAGAGATGCTAAAGCATTAAGTGATCCCTACTGTGGAAATCTTATCTCTCCCGCTCCACACCCTTTATTTATAAGGAAATATTCTATGATTTGGGAGTCTTTAAAGAAGTTAGATTTCTTTACCAGAAAATCTACAGTTCCTTTACAAACCTTAAGAGTCTTTACAGGCATCCACAAAAATATCCATTCTGGATCAGTTTATGTGCTACAATATATATGGCCAAACTCACTCATGCCACAGTATTAGTAGACAATTCTGTCTAATCATTCTGTTTAGGTGTTTTATGTTTGCCGTGAAAGCTATCTGACCTTGGAGTTTTTGCTCTTTCAGCAGGCCAGAGCTGAGAATTCCTGATGTTTGCAGTTTCCCATAGCTTCTTAAAAATACTGAACTTAACCTTTGGAGAAAGTTTTCTCCGTTTCTACCAGAGAAATTCTCCAATTTGCAGTTTTACAAGTCAGTCTGAACTTCATATTCCTGTATCTCTAATGTTCAGTTCTTTTCAAAACTTGTTTCTCATGAAGTGGTAATCATGGGCCTGGAATGTACCATTGTAGAATGCACATGGAGTTCACAGGATGAAGTGATCTTTGTTTTGGTTCTTTGTAGGAATATTTGGTTAATCAATTTCTAGTTGCAATCTAAAATGGTAGTTCACAGCCAGGTTTGTCACCACTGATCATCTTTTGTGTCTCTCTCAGCGCCATCTTCTAGTCTCTATAGGAGCAAAGACCAGGTTATCTTATGAGCTTTGTACCCAAAATATGATTGTGACAGGAGAGGCTTCTCTTTTTGATGACTATCTGTATTCAGCCCTAACCCACAACCATGGGCTGCTTTTGACAACACTGGAAAGCCTCTCTACCTTGTTTCACTGTATTTCTCTGATTAAATTATTTATTAAAAACAGTTATGGACTCTTGGCTTGAATCTATGATGGGGTAGCTGACTTTTGAAGTGAATGAATCATGTAGGGTTATATAAAAACAGGATGGTGTGATTTTAGGTGGTTTCCACCCCAACTAATTTCAAGAGCGCCCTGTAAACAGTCAGGTGGTGGCTTAATCCATTTAGCTTTGGCCTCAGCCCATTGCTTACTTCATGTCCCCCTAGGACGTGTCTTCCCCATCAGATTAATTCACATCATATGGTCTTCAGCACAATTTAAAGGAAACCAAGGTATTTCTGTATTCTTCCCAAGGGAGATAAGAACTTTCAACCATGGCCTTTTCGACAGTATTAGCCAAGAAAAGGAAGGAAGGAAGGAATAAGAAGGAATTGCTGATGGGCAGGCAAACTCAAAATATTGTGTTTGGGCCGAAAACCTAAAAAACATAATTTTTAAATATTCTTCCTGTGCGTATTTCCAATAAAGCAAACTTCAGTGGGAACAAAATCAAACTCACTGAAAAAGAATTGAAACACTGTGGTCATAGTGGGAAGACTGTTGATTACAAATCCTGAAGTATAGTAGCACCCCAATACTAGGTATGCTTGGCTTCCTGAGGGTTACAACCATCAAACAGATTCCTAGACAGAAGGCCTTCATACCCTTTCCAGGCCATGATAGCTTCAAATGGTTGTAAAATCACTGGTTATAAAGTAAGGACTCTGTAGCAGACCATCTGTAGCAGACCAGCAGGTCAAAAACATGAAAATCTGGACAGCACTTGGTAAGGACATGATCCATACCTATTGGCTAAAAAATATTAACGGCAGAACTTGAGCACCAGTGCCACAGATGAATCAGCTACTGGCAAAAACTGGACTGTTTTTACTTCCTCAATGAAAAAAAAGTCCGGTTGCCTTTTGAAGAAAAAAAAAAAAAGCACCTTTGAGACTAGCCGCAGGCCCCTACCCAGACTAGCTAATCCAAAGAAGGACAGTGCTGATTATGAAAGATCCCACACAGCAGCAGCTAATGACCTGTCTCTGTACAACATGGAAAGGTCCCGATCACTTCTATCTCTCTTGGTGATCCTGTAACAATGGGAGAAAGGGGAAGGGAATGTATGGACTTATCCATCATATGCATGTCGCACAAGACATTTTTATAATAGTCATCTAAATGGGTGAGGAGATATGCATCGTATATTCTCTCCTTTAAAAAGTCCTCCCCCAGCTTTAAATTAAATTAAGAACTGTCTTAATTTGTTAGTGAAAAATATAATATTTGGAGCTAGGTTACAAAAGTGATAATTACAAGACAGGATGAATTTTAAATCAGATCTCTCTTGCCTTTCAAATGCCCCTCCCAAAATCTTGTATGTGTATTTCTGAACAGTGCACCTTCAATTCTTGGATAGTATAAGCCATGTTGTGCATTATGTATGCACATACATACATATGCTTGCTTGCATACATACTGTCAGTAACCTATGCTGTCTGCAAGGGCTTTTATGTCCTTCAGGATCTTTTGGAAGGCTCCTTTTGAAAGTCACGATAAGAGTCAATATAAATATTTATTCAGATATTTAATCCATTGCAATTCAGACACTTTTGGGCACAGTATGCTGGGAAAAGACTGGGAAAAGCTCCAATGCTGGGAAAGGTGGAAGGAAAGAGAAGAGGATGACCAGAAGCAAGGCAGGTGGACTCAGTTGCAGTGGTGGAGAGACTTGAAAGAAAAGATTCTTTCAAGATCCTCATGGAGAAAATCTGTGTTGTTGCTAAGAGTTGTCAACAACTTGATGGCACGTAATCAATCCACTACAAATGAATTGTTGTTTAGTTCTGAGCCTGCCCATTTACTTCTGGGAGTGCTACACAGCAGTACAACTCTAAGCCCTAAATTATTACTACCCTGTTCCCACCAATCCTTCCCCTAACTTCCTTTTCTGTTCTAGTCCATTCATTCACGGCCTTTCTTAATTTGTTTTCTAGAAGTTTATTCCTACTGGTATTTGTTCGACTGTCTCAAGTTCCACGTTGTCACGCAATCTGGCTGCACGCCCTCCATTACAGAACAAAGTGATGTGAATGAACATTAAGTCCTTTTTTGGCTTCCTGCCGCAAATCCAACTTACATGCCTAACTCTAAAGCTCTGCACTCCCCTTGTGATTTGGTGAATAAAATGTACAGGGCTTTGACAGAAATTATTCTTCAAACACTAGAGGGAGGGATTTGTTAACATTTTTTGTAGCCATCCCTAAACTATAAACCTAGCTCTTGTTTGTAGAGGAGTACTTACAATCTTTATTCTATAGCCATCAACGATGCAGATTTTATCCAATTCTAACAGTTGACAACAAATAGTTACAAAGAAAGGAGCCCTGCATGTACATTTACCTGAAATTTGCCAAGATTGTCCTTTCAGAAGGGTTTACTCTTATGCAGATTTCATCAAGTTCAGTGAGATTGTATGTTTATTTTAAAATTACAGATTCATTCTAACTTTTATAGTCAGTAGAAATACTTCAGATTTTCAAATTGCGTGGGGTGATTAACCTTACAACTATTAAAAAAAGCCAAGTACTGATGCTGTTAATTATATTACAGCTCTTGCTCTGTTGTGAGTTGACTAGGGATTCTTTTGAACAAGAATACAGTCCTTGTCATATCCAATATAACTCAGGGGGATAAATAGAAAATGGGCATATTAGTGAAATTGTTCAATTTACTGTTGAACTCACTCATTGTTGAGCAACTTGGTATAAACACTGAGACAGTGAGTGGTCTAAATCACCAAAATGTTTCACTGGTGAGTAGGTAATTAATGGGATCATCAGAGATGCTACTGCAGCTACATAATTGTGAATTCTTGATAATTATGACCTTTCCCTCTGTTGGATCTTTTTATTCCGATGGTATCACAATTTGGGGGCCTGGCAAACAGGAACATTGCATAAACATGTCCTGGACCTGAAATATTATTCATGCATTGAAACAGGCAAGACAGGGTCTGTAGTAAGAGGTCATAGTGAAGAATTCTTCGATAGAGTGATTTTTAAGTGTACCTGTAATTTTTCATTTTATCAAGAAGGAAGGAACAATCTTTATGTTATACTTCTAACACTTAGCTGATGATACTTCCTGGAATGAGAAGGAAACTTTCTAAAAGAGGGGTTGTGCTTTAAAGCCAGATTTTTTTTTCCTCCTGAAATCTGTTAGATTCTGTCAACTATATCTACCTTTCCAACCAGAATAATATTTAATTGCCTTTCATCTGATATTTTCCTAAGAAAATACTTTTCTTTTAATGGAGAAATATAACCACTATCCGGTAGTCAATCTGGAGAGGTCTTTTTGGGCTCCCATGCCGAAAACTCTGCGCGCACTCATGTGCGCATGTCCACGTGCCAGCACCCAGAACGCAATGTGCCCCGCCCCCTGAACATGCTCACACAACATCCCCCACCCCATTACCTGCACTGTGCATGTGCACGCATTCCAGCTGATTTTCGGTCTGTTTGAGGCCTTTTTCGCCCTCCCTGAGGCTTGAGGGAAGCCTCTGCAGCTTCGGGAGGCTGAAAAACGGGTCTTCCGGAAATACCAGAAGTGCCCATTTTCAGCCTCCGGAGGGCCTCTGGGAGCCTGGAGAGGCCGTTTTTGCCCTCCTGAGTGAAGCCTCTGCAGCCTTTGGAGGCCGAAAAACAGGCCTGTTTCGTCACTTCTGGTATTTCCAAAAAAGGCCTCAAACTGGCCGAAAATCAGCTGGGAGACGTGCACATGCGCAGTGCAGGTAAGTTTGGCTGGGGCTCACATACCCGCACAAATGGCTCTGTGTGCCATCTGTGGCACGCATGCCATAGGTTCACCATCGCGCATCTAGGCCACCTGAAGCATGTTGCAACCTCAAGTCAATAGCCCCCCAATAGCTACAAAAGAAGAGTTCTTTAGCTGCTTAGCATTTATTAAGAATACACTACAGACAATATATTTCCTTCTTCAAATTCCAGCAGTTCAGCAATATGTCTTAGGATGGCATTAGCAGAATTTGCAGAAATGTCAGGTTAAACCGGGTGTCAGCCACCCGTGGCTCTGGAGCCGCATGCAGTACTTTGATCCCTCTCCTGTGGCTCCCTGCCAACCAGGTCATGAGACATGCTCTCCGCCCCAAGACACTGTCCCAACCTGGCCAGGCCGATGCCAACCTTGCTAACACGAAGGGATGGTGGAGTGGGAATGGGATCTGTGAGGTGGGAATGACAGAAAGGGGGAAGGCCCAC